TTCACCTATTTCACTCGACTCCTGCCACCACATCTGTCCTACTCGAGGCGCTATTCGCCCTCCCCTGCGTTTGGGTGACTAATTGGAGGCGCAAGCCTCTGAGTGTCATGGTCACCCCTTTGCTACATATACCACGTCTCTGGTACAGCAGACCTATCGTCAGCCGACTAGCTCCGGTCACCGTTGTCTCTATCCTGTTTCTATCCCGAATACCAAGTCTATGACTTGCCATGCCCTAGTCGCTTGTGTGCCAACCCACAAATGTTGTGGTACAGCTTGTTTTAATTTGGTTCAACGTTGAACCACAACATTTGTGGGTTGGCACACAAGAGACTAGGGCATAGCAAGTCATAGACTTGGTATTAGAGTTAGAAAGAGGATAAAAACAGTGGAAGCTAGAGCTGGTTGGCTAACAATAGTCGTGATTCAAGGATCACGTTTAAGAGCAAACACGTCTATTGTTAGCCAAACAGCTTTAGTCTCCACCTTGTCTTTCCTGTTTCTATCTATAATACCATGACCTTCACTTCTTATGTCATAGTCTCTTTTGCCTAGATTGAGTCTATATTACAAATAAGATAGAGCCGGATAGTGTTCTTGCTTTAGTGTTAATGTGAGACTTTTAAAAGAATGACACCCAGTTCTGATGATGTCCATCAAATGATGGACAAAAACTCAGCACGTTTTCACCCTAAACAAGGGAGGAAGTCTCGTGGACTGCGTCAAAATGATTATCATATAAAAGCCAAACGGCTGCAGTACGACGAGTTTCATCCGTCCTCATCTGGTGAGATCGACCAACAAATCTCTTCTTCATGCACTTTCATTCGAAATGAAGGTCCCCCCAACAATGATATCTCAGGAGATTGATCAAAACCAAGTTTCTCTTCGTATCTACAACCAATAAATGTCGTGGTTCTACTTGTTTGATAAGGCTCACTGAATACGTCTCCTCTTTGCTCCTAATTCTTCCTATCTCATCCCCTTGCGAGCTCTTCTAGTCGTCGTGAGTGCTGCCTACGCACGCAAACACCCATACATGAAGTTATAACAAGCCCAAGGATTACAAGATCTTACGCTTGTCTATTTGCATATACAAAAGTTGTGACTAAATCCGCCCCTTTTCTTACATCACTTTCACTCGCTACCATGCATGTAAAACAAGTATAAAACAGCCAACCAAATCATGGAATGCCTCATTA